ATAAATTTTTAAAAATATAAAAATATTTTTTATAAAGCATAAAATTTATAATTAATAATAAATTATATAAAAATAGAAATAGATAATTTTAAATTTATTTTTAATAGATGAAGATATTTTTAAAATAAAAAAAAATTCTCCTAAAAAGGACATATGTTTTTACAAAAAGAAAATAGAACGCTCTTCTTTAAAACTTTTCTAAGATTATTCCCAAATTGCATTATAGCTTACAATCTATAACAACAAACAAATTACTGAACAACACATCAGACATTTTTTCAACAACAAATAAAATACCGTGAATCAACGGTCAAACATTACATAGAGTGGACATTAAACATTAAACATACCATGAATTATCAACATTCAAGGCAGATTATTCCCAAATACCGTAAACAACCCCGTACCCAAACTCTCAAATCTATAAAAAATCTAAACCCTAAACATACACAAACTAAAATACTAGAAAACTTTTTGTATGGTGTGATACTACAATCGTTCAGAGCTTTAATGGGTAGACTTCAAACAAGCGATGAAATCGAATCGATGGACCTTGGCCGAATCAAAAGGGGTGGGCTAGGATGTGTTGGATGAGAAGCTCCGAGGAGAAATCCATCGACAGATGGGTTAGGTCAGACGTCGATATCAGTTTGGTGAGCTTCAACTGATGAAAGGCGGTATTGGGGTGGGACGACAGGCAAGAGAAAGATAGAGAGTTGTGGGTGAAGAAAGAAGGGGAAATAGGGGAAGATGCCCCACGTGGGATTTTAATTTAGGTTACCGATGAAAATTTTTGTCAGTAATTAGAAAATAATTATTGATGAAAATTTCATCGGTAACCTTATCAACCTTTTAAATGGTCTCACCGATCGAATTTACGTCAACAATTTCATTAGCAATTTGACCACATTATTGATTGAATATTTTGTTAGTAAACTCTGTTCATAAAGACGCACCCGAACATTTAGCTCATTAATTGGTGTATAATTCCCTGTTTAAAGAACAGAGTTTGAATCCTCTCTTTTTCAATTAAAAAAAAAAACTCCGTAGTTGAATCTATATATTGATATGCTTCCAAATCCTCTAAAGTCAATCTGAATATGCAAATAAAAGCCTTCTTGCAATTATTTTTT